AGTCATCGCAACAGGTGATAGTATATCTGGCCGGATGCTTAATGCTTGCCCTAGCTTTATGTATGCTGGACCCAGTGATGTTACTATCTCCCTCAACTCAATTGCTCGAGCAACCTCATTCTAATGATCGGAAAAAAAAAACTAGTTATAGGATGAGGAAAACAATTAAAAATGCATGGTATATCATTTTAAATGAATTCATCAGAGCTTTATTTCAATGTTCACCAAACAACTGTTCCAACTCATTGAACTCTCTTTGATGATATAAAGAAGATTACCTATTTCCTAATTGAACTTCATGAAGTTAACGAGTTCTACTAAAAAGTTGCAGGGTTCCTTTTTTTTTTTTTTAAATTTCCTAGATTAATTGATAATCTCAGGGGCGATGACTCAAGCGGACCAAGCAAACTCGTTAATGTCACTTGTCCTATTCCGCTTTTAGGAAATAGGAACACTCAAACCAAAATAGTTACTGTTTAGCAGCCATTAACTAATTTGGGCATTATTGGTTTTAGGACTCCATCAATTAGTGTTTTACTCCATGTCCCAACCTTGTGACATGTTAAATTTAGAATAACTACATTTAATACTTTAACCTCAAAATTCATTTTGATTTTGATTTTCATTGCCACAATCACATTTTCCCAGTATCAACTATCCTTGTTCTTGTTAGGTTCCAGTTTCCATAGAGAACTTTTACCTTCGAGTACCAAATGAATCTACATAGAGAAGAGATTAAAAAAGAACTGAAAAGAAGCTTAAAATGTTTGAATTTGAATGAAGAAGTGATATCAGTAAAAGGTCGAAATATTAGCTCCTTATTGATCATTCAATCAAGACTACTACAGAAAGGCGAAAAATCCGTCTTTCAGAAGCATAGTGAACCGTACAACACCCACAGTTAAAGGATTTCGAATTTATACTGTTACGAACAAATTAAACTACACGCTCGTATGTGTCTCTACATGCAATTCACTAATTCCAGGAAAAATGGATAATCATCCAGTACAACTCACCTCTTTAACCTTCTTATTTATCACGTCCCAGGCAAGACGCGAAAGAAAACCTCCAGCAACAGATGTTAGCTGGACTATACGGGTTGCAACAGCACGTGGCCGTTTACCCCAATATGCAGAAATGCTCTTAGGATCATAAACCAAGGGCAAGAACTCACTGCTTTCATCAACCTGAAGAATTTAAAGATAGGAAACATATTATCATACATATTTTTATACCAAATGACATCTTTTCCAAGCCAAAAGCAAAAAAAAACGCTAGATAAAAGGGAAATATCCATTAATATTATTTTTTTGTTTTTTGATAAGAGGGAAATATCCATTACTATTATTTTTTGTTTTTTGATAAGAGGGAAATATCCATTAATATTTTTCCAAGCCAAAAGCTAATGATCTTGAGATACAAGGAAAATATCCATTCATATTGAAGATCCAACTCCTTGAGGAAGCTTCAACAGATTCAATCAACTTGGACTACAATAACAACATTACTATAAATTTAACTGTGATAGTCTTCACATTTGTGGAACCATAAATGACTGCAAAGCACCTTCTTTTGTATATAGCTAAATGTAATTTAGAACATAGTTGTTTCCAAGAGAACTAGAGATTAGGTACTATATGAAACCGCACTAGAAAAGATCTTGATCCCGGAGATCATCAAAAAGTATTGCTTTCTTCCTCTGTAGGGATAGTCATCAAACTCCATTGCTTCTATAATTTTTCAATCGACCATTTGACGGCAGGAAGAAAATCTCTCTCTACAACAACACCTTATGAATTTTCATCAATTGCACTAAATAGCTAGTTTATTTGATTAAGGTCAAATATCCTGCACTAATGAACCTCCCCACAAAAATCCATGAATGATCAGTTTCCTTTGACCTCTCAAAAGACACATCCATATCTACAAATTCTGGATACAGAGACTTCATCTCATCTTCTCGTCACAATAAGAATATGAAATTTTCATCACCCAAGACCCTTCACAAGCATGAAAGTTCGAATAAATATACTTCGATTAGCAAGTCAAATACACGGACCTCCACTAGGCGAAGCTCAATGTTATCATCAGCAAACAAGGAATCTTTCAGGTTTTGACCTCGAAGCCCCCTCATGAGTATGGCTAAGTCCTCATTTTCTTCCATTTGTGCCCTCACTCTTTTGATCTCTTGTGATACATCCTGCAATCTCTGCAAACCCACAAATATAAAATTTCAACCAGCCATCAGCCAAAATATCAATATACTACTCACCTACAATTCCATCTGAATAAACCATGTAATAATCTCTTTCTTACTACTTTCCAGAACAATACTATAGAACTCAATAAACTTCCATCTCATCAACTTTTTTCTTGGTTGATATCAGTGAAAGGAAAAACTTTTTTTTTTTTGCAGAAAAAGAAAAAACCTTCTTATTGCTGAATTAGTTTATTATTTCTCCATGGAAGAATACTAAGTTGAGTTCATTACACCCAATTGAAGGTACCTTTCTTAATCCAAGTGACAAATGTGAAATTTTGTTAAACTAAATAAATAATGAAAGTACTGATCAGAAAAAGAAATAATGAGAATAACACCAACAATAACAACAATAATAATAATTATGATAATAATAATACTAATAATAATATAATAAAATTAACAACAACGATTAACAAATAAATAATAAAACACACTAGTGAAAGTGGAGTAATCTGCGTCTTATTTTCCCTCTAATTTAAAATTATTTTATCACTTCCTGAGCAGCCAAACAAAAATTAAGTCAGCAATCAGTCAAACATCAGTATATTACTCACTCCAATAAACCCATTTCAATAAACCATGCTTGCATTGCTTTCTTATTATTTTCCACAACAACACTATATAGAACTCAGTGAAGTTTCAATTTCATAAATAAAAGAAACATTTAACAATCTTTTGGGTTGATATCAGCTTTAAAAGATCTTCTTCAGACTGAATTAGTTAATTTATTTTCATGGTAGAAAATAAATTGACTTCATTTCACAAAATTGAAGGTACATTTATTAATTTAAAGGACAAATGTGGAAATTTGTTTAATTAAATAAATAGGAGTAATGAATATTCTTTATATCGTCATTCGTCAGTGTCTAAACTTCAACTCATAAATTAAAAATTGAATTTGCATAACCTACTGTAGAAGTAGAAGCACCATTGACTGGCCTAGGAACGCCGTTGACCGGCTTAGTAGTCGTCTTTGACTCCGACGGCTTAGGTTCCGTCGCAATTGCCCGAACGACGCCGTTTTTTCGCCGAACCCTCAACTTCTTCAACGATGATGATGAAGAATAGAGACCACGAGAAGGCAGTGAAGAGCGACGCAGAGGATCAATTCTGCAGTAGACCAGCCCGGAAGCTGCGTCCATTATAGCAGAATTAAAGCTTCAAAAAGTTAAATAAAAAATTATACAAATGTATAGATTTTTTTGTGTGAAGCTTGAATGCAGAGAAATTATCAAATTTAATTCCAGTGCAAGAGTGAAGAGGAAGATTGTGGGGAGTAATATGGTAGTTGAAAAGGCACACGTGGAAGAATGTGGAACAAGGAAAATTTGTTTGGAATTGAGGGACCATAATGAAATTTTATTTGGCGGGATCTATGTATCATTATTTGCCGTTCGTTTTTTGGGAGGATTTGCTTTTTGGTCCTTTCTTGCATTTTGGTTGTTATTTTAGTGCTCTCATTTTTTATGCCACATTCTTTCATGTGGACAACAATTTACCCCTTTAAATTGTTTTTAATTCTTATTTGTCTTGCCTAAAATATGGTGAGAAGTTTTGATCATTTTGTTGAATAGTTACTTCGAATTTTGGCCAAAATGTGTAACCTCAAAAGTGAGATGTAACTCCAACAATGAAGCCTTCTTTTCCTATTGTCTTATCACATCAACAACAAATTTCTACAACAATAGATAGAGACAAATAAAAATAATTAAACTATTCAGTACCATTCACTTATTCTAAATCCAACATGATGAAAGTACACATGACTCCTCACTATAGGAGCTATCATAAATATTTTTCTCATTTCTTATTCTTCTTTTTTAATTTCATTCATGCATAGTCACTATTTCCCATTTTTTTAAACCTCCGTTATTAGTCTATCACCTCTAACTACTTCGTGATTATTATTTTTATTCGTGGACTCAGGCTATATTATCATTTCAAAATAGATTTAAATTATTCAAAATATTAAAAGAATTAATTTTGGCTGCATTTTTGGCGGTGTAAGTATTCGAGATTACTAGATGATGAAATAAAAAAATTACTTACTAATGTTCTTTAAAATATTATAAATTTTAGTGAGCAAAATTACCAACTGAATAATCAAGGTGCGTGCAAAATAGTCTTAGTACTAACATAAAAAATCAATTAAAAAACAAATATAAATTTTATAAAATAGCTTAATGCTTCTTATTAAGCTTTAAGCTAACCAAGTTGCTGGAAATGAAAACAAAGCTAGGGTTAAGTTTCTAAACACGTCAAGTTCCATCCAGTCACACCAAAGTACAAGCTTTTAAGAGCATAGCACAATCTTTTTCTGCATGCATTTATCTAGCCAAACAATAATGGCTCTCTAAATACACCAATCCTCGTGGGGTCGTTTGGTATGAAGCATAAGAAGGTATAATGTTGGTATAAAAATTTAATATCATTTTAATACTTTGTTTAGTTAATAAACCTGGTATAAGTTATCTCGAGATTAAAATTAATACCGGAATAACTTATACCTTGTAAAGGGTGGGGTAATTAGTGCCGGAATAACTTATATTTTTTTCTTAAAAATTATGCAATTATCATTTTTAATACAACATACTAAATAGTAAATAAAAAATAATAACACAATAACTAATCATATCGTAACTTATTTTAGCATAACATATCCTGGCATAAGTGGTATCAAACAAAACGACCCCTAATAATAATAAGAATAATATAATAATATGTTTTCAAAAGAAACTCATATTTCTCATGCTCACATTTTTTTTTCTTCTTCTTTTACCTAAGGTTTGGCCCTAAGGAAAGAAAGCTCTAGAGAGAGGAGAGATTTGTTGAGGAGAGGAAAAATGGATAGGTACCAGAAGGTGGAGAAGGCAAGGAGGGCAGAGGAATCCATAAAGGAAAATGAGATCAGAGTCACTGCTCAAGGTCTCATTCGTAATTACATTAGCTATGCCACCACTCTTCTTCAGGTACTTTTTTTTTGTGCCTAATTTCTTCCATTTGTTGCTTGTTTTGAGTGTATTCTCATATGGGGTTTTGTAAAGATTTCAACTTTATGATTTTTTGTGTCAGCTATGTTTGTGTAATTGAATTTGAGCTTAGTTTCATCTGGGGTTTTGTAAAGATTTCAGCTTTATGATGTTTTGTTCTAGCTATGTTTGTGTATTTGATTTTGAGCCTAGTTTCACATGGGGTTTTGTAAAAATGTCAACTTTATGATTTTTTGTATCAGCTATGTTTGTGTAATTAAATTTGAGCCTAGTTTCACATGGAGTTTGTAATGATTTCAATTTTATGGTGTTTTTTTTCAGCTATGTTTGTTTAATTGAATTTGAGCCTAGTTTCATCAGGGGTTTTGTAAAGATATCAACTTTATGATGTTTTTGTTTCAGTTTTGTGGCTGTTGAAATATTTTCACATTTGAATTTGTAGTATTTACCCTATCTTGTAAAGTTTCTATTTTTATTATTATTCTTTCTCCCTTTTTACAAGTGAGGTGAAGAAGATAAAGAATCTTTTTTATTTTTGCTACTTTTGTGTCTAATTGAATTTGAACCTAGTTTCATATGGGGATTAGGAAAAGTTTCAACTTGATGTTGGGTTTTAGTTTTTTTCCCCCATTTCTTGATAGCATTTTCCGTGTTATGTTTGTTTTGATGATTAGGGAAAATCAGTCCCAAATGGTTAAAGACTGATTTTTTATTAGTTTGTAGTAGTTTCCCAGTCTATGTTCTTGCCCTTAAGCTGTGAAAAAAGAGAAAAGAGTCTTTCATCGATATTACATCCATATAAGAAGGTGTGCAGTGGTGAGGAAGACACAATAAAGAGACTCTATCTATCAAAAGTACTGTCTATTTGAGTTATATTAGTGAGCTGAACTTTGAAGAGCCCACTTAATGAATCTCTTTTGTCTTAACTGTGCATCGTTCTTACAATTCACAAACTCCAGTGGATTTAAATAGTAGGTTATTGAAAAGTTGTCTCCATAACATTGTTTTGTTATTTAAAATTGATTTCTCTAATAAATTTAGGAGAAGAGGTTGAAGCTTCCGATACGGTGAAAGTTGAAAGTATGAGTATGAAATTGCATTTTAATTGATCTCATTTAAGCTTGTTAGTTCTGAATTTGGCGTATGGTATTTCTAGGTTACCATATGTTGAATTTCAAGGACTAGACTTCTCTGATAGTCTAACTTCAAATACAGTAGCTAGTGAGGTTTTGGTTTAAAATAAATAAGACTACTTTCTATGGGTCATCGAGCTCTAAATTGATGTATAAGAAGAATGCGGACTTATTACTTCTAAATGAATCGTAAGAACAATTCCATAACCAATTGGAATAGTATCAGCAGATGTTGGGCACGTCATTTGGTTTCTATGTTTTACAACAAGTAGCTGTGGAAAAATACAATAAGTTATTAGGCCTCGAGGCAGGTGATTTGGAATCCATACGCTGATTTTCATCAAACAAGCTTGTTTTAGTGTGGCGGTGTGGCTTTTCAATTGCACGTTATCGTATCTCTAATGCTAATTTTGGTCACGTGTTGCATAAATTAGTCTGAATTATCTTTTTCTGAGCCTAATCCCCTTGTTAACTTGTTTAGTCTCACAGATGCTGGTCAAAGTAATTAAGTCTTGGTTTGTCAGTGTGTTCTCCAAATTCAGCTTAAGAATAGAGAGACTGCTCATTATTAATATTTATCTTTAGGGTGCTAAAAAGTCATTCCTTCATTTATTATGTTTGCATCAACTATGATCCATGTGTCTATTGTCTTCTTCCGAAAACAAGGACAGTAAAGGGAAGGGAAAGCTCTAGCTAGTCATTTATACTTTTTGTCAAACTTTTTTGTTAAGTGACTTTACATTGCCTCCTTGTGCAATTTTCTCGTTGTACGTTCTTGTTTCAATGCACAAAGTTTCTTATTTTTCCTTCTTTCTCCTCAAACTAAAATGCTGCTGAAAGTATTTGCCTTAACTCAATGTTGTGGGATCTGTACATTATGTTATTTTGCATTGCATGATATTCATTAATATATCTCCACCGTCATGTTCAGGACCAAAGAACAAAGGAAATTGTTTTGAAGGCAATGGGACAGGCTATCAGTAAAACAGTTGCCGTTGCAGAGATTATAAAGGTATTATTAGCGGTATGCCATTTTAATTTGCAAGTACAGGAGTGACAGCTGATTTTATTTGCACGATTTGTATCTGTAAAACAGAAGAGAATTCCCGGGTTGTATCAAGATACATCTATAAGCTCAACTACCATAACTGATGCATATGAGCCCATTGAAGAGGGTTTACAACCGTAAGTTCATGTTACTCTTGCTTCTCGTTCCTTCTTATATGTGCGTCAGTTACAGACAGTTGATTAATCTTTTATGTATGCTTGAGTAGCTTGGAGATAACTCGCCAGGTCTCCCTGATAACAATTACTTTGTCGACTGTTGAGTTGGATAAAAGCTCTCCCGGGTAAGCTTTACAAACATTATATCTTTGTTTTGAAGGAGGGTTCCTCCCCTCGATTATTCTGAGGAAAAGATTTTGAATACTATATATGCTCTCTAACTTGGGTTGAATGCTGCGTATCTAGCTACCAAGCCCCATCTGATTATGACCAGTCAAAAGCAGAGAATCAACATCTACAGCAAGCAAAACAAGTGTATGTTCCTTCAGATGGTAATCAAGGTAAAAACCGTTAATGTATGAGTTGGATTACATATTACCCGTAAGTTTGCTGCTTGTTTTCCTTTTTCTTCCTTTTGATTTATTTTGGAGAATTTTGAGATTTCACATGTGGATAATTGGCATTGTGTATGGCCATTCAGCAATCAGTTTTCCAAGCATAATCCTGTCCATAGCAATTGTGAGGTTTATCATTTATGTTTCATGATTGGATTGAAGCTATGTTTCATCATTACATTGCAACCAATATTTTGCAGCTGTTTTAATGTGATTATTTTTTTCTTACAAAACATGATATTCAGATTCATATGGTGGCCGTGGTCGTGGTCGAGGTCGAGGTAGGGGCAGAGGTAGAGGGCGAGGAAGGGGACGTGGCTGGGGTGGTTATGGAAACTACTACCAAGGTATTGATTCGTAGATGTTTTATACATAACTGTTTTTTTTTTCAATTACATGGGGCTAGGGAATGGGAATGGGAAGGGGGGCGGTGATTCGAATCCACACCTATTGTGTGGGGAGACTCATGCCGGTTCCACTAGGATATTAGCTTTTTCTATTCTGTATTTATTTTATCTTTGAGGGTAGGTTTCTTCCTCTGTCCTGCATTCTAACTAATACATACTATTTGCAGATGATGGCGGATATTATAATCCAGGTCGAGGTGGTGGATTTGCAGATAATGGTGGAAATTATAATCCAGGTCGAGGTGGTGGATTTGCAGATAATGGTGGAAATTATAATCCAGGTCGGGGTGGTGGATTTGCAGATAATGGTGGATATTATAACCCAGGCCGAGGTGGCGGTCGAGGTAGAGGTTGGGGATACCGTGGTAAGTCCTATATTCAATGCCACCATAATATCTCAATGTTTATATGTTGAGACTAAGAAAATAATATGACTTGCATGATGTTAGTTTATAGATATGTATAGTGTAGTCTTGTCCCACATTGGAAGAGGAGTAATATCTCCTTGTAGTGTATAGCTATAAATAGGGACCTCTTGTATTGTATTTATCATCCAATATCAATAACATATTTTCTCCCGTGCCTTCTCACATGGTATCAGAGCATTAGTGAGAAAAGATCGTTGTGCGTCATTCCAGCGTTAACCGGGAAGAAAGAACTTAGTCATCGTGTAATTTTTCCGGTGACCTAAGGCTTGTCTAAGTGAAAGTCACTTTCTGTCGGTGTTGTGCTAAAACCAACACCACCACGAGGTAGATCATCCTCCGACTACTAACCCCTGAAATTTTATCCGGCAGAAAAGCCGCCACGCTCCTCCACGCGCGGCAACAACTTTTCCGGCGAGGGTTTCGGCCACTTTCCGACCATTTTTTCGCGAAACTTCTTCAGGACAGTGTGCTCTCCTCAAAATTTCGAGCCTACCCATCTAATTCAAATCAAATTCCGGCCACTTTTATATTTTTCCGGCGTGAACAGTGACCTTTCTGGCCATTTTTTGAATATTTCTTCAGGACAGCTTGCTCGCAAAGGAATTCCGAGTCTATCCATCCTGGTTACAACAAATTCCGACAACTTTGGAATTTTCCGGCGAGCTACAGTGTTTCCGGTATGAACAGTGTTTTCCAGCACAGAACAATGTTCTGTTTTCCTGCTGTAAACAGTGTTTTTCAAGCTATCTCTTCAGTTTTTTTCACAGGAGTTATTTATTTTCACTATTTCAAGTTAATCCTACTACTACTAATTGTAGCGACATGGGAACCGATGCTTTGAATAGTCGGATGGTTTCTTTAGCAGAGTATATTGAGTTCCTTCAGTATAAAGCATGTAAGCAGACATCTTCTGAGATAGCTTCTGTTGTTCAAACAGGTAATGGCGTGACTTGTTTCTCCCAATCTTCATCCTTTGAGTCTTGGGTCATTGATTCAGGTGCATCAGATCATATTTCTGGTAACAAATCTCTTTTCACTACTATTTCGTATTCTCAATTTCTTCCAAAAGTCACAATGACCAATGGATCTCAAACCATGGCAATTGCAATAGGTCAAGCAAGTCCACTTCCTTCCTTACCTTTAGATTCAGTCCTTTATGTTCCCAATAGTCCTTTTAATCTCATAGCTGTTAGTCGCTTAGCCAAATCACTTAAATGCGCTGTTTTATTTCTTGATGACCATGTTTTTATACAGGAACGCAGTACGGGGCGGATCATTGGTACCGGGCGTGAATCAAACGGACTTTATTACCTTATCCTTGCTAAATCACATGGACTCACATCTTGTCTTCCTTCTACAACTTGTCCTGTTACTGATTCACCAGATTTATTACATAAACGGTTGGGACATCCCAGTTTGTCAAAACTTCAGAAAATGGTATCTGGTTTATCTCACTTGTCCACTCTAGAGTGAGTCATGTCAGCTCGGTAAGCATACCCGCTCCCATTTCCCTCGGCGTTTTGATAATCGAGAGAGTCACCTTTTACTTTAGTCCATTCAGATGTTTGGGGTCCTAGTCGGATCAGTTCCACCTTAGGATTCCGCTACTTTGTCAGTTTCATTGATGATTATTCCAGGTGCACTTGGATATTTTTGATAAAAAATCGATCTGAGCTGTTTTCTATTTTCCAAACCTTTCACGCTGAAATTCAAAATCAATTTAGGGTTTCTATTCGCACATTTCGTAGTGATAATACCCGAGAGTATTTGTCTTTCCCATTTCAGCAGTTTATGAAATCTCATGGGATTATTCATCAAACATCTTGTCCGTACACATCTCAACAAAATGGGGTAGCTGAAAGAAAGAATAGACATCTTATTGAAACTGCTCGTACCCTACTCATACAATCTCATGCTCCGTTGCGTTTTTGGGGGAATGCCGTTCTTACATCTTGCTATA